CACAAAACTTAGCAAGCTTTGCAGTTTTAATGATGGTTCCTTTTCAAGATTATCCAGTATACGTTAAAACAGCAGTCTGATGTTTACTGCCACTGCCTTTGCACGAGCTCTGCATGTGCTTTCTAAGAGAATCATAATCATCATCCTTGCCGTTGGACTCACAAAAGACATTCGCTATCCACTGTATGGAAACATTTTGCATTCCAGAGATGATTTTCAATGCAACACCACCAACTTATTTGACAAACTTTATTGGTAGATAATAGCAAGTAGTATAGTTTGTTTATTTTTGTGTGTGTGTGTGTATAATGGTTATTAATTCATATATGATTTGTATGTGAGATGATTCACCTAAATGATGTTGTTGAGGTAATAGCTTATTTCAGTTGCACTGGGGGAGTCCGTGGGTTGAGATAATCGCATTATTGGTGAGACCGTGAATGTCTTCTTTCAAGATGTTGTTCCATTGCAGTCGTGCAGTTGTGATAATTCTGCGACGACTGCATTTTCATTCACTTTTAATGCGACGTGCTCCCATACAACTGAGGCCTTCGCTTTCTTATTTGGACCCTCGTCCGCTACGCTCCGTCTTCCTTCTGTCATATTCCTGAGTAATGCGGGCAAATCTTAATCCATGCCTTTTAATAATCGAATAATTGAGTTTAAGTAATCAAGTAGTTGTGACAGCTCTATTTTAATTTTATGTATGTATGTATGTATGTATGTTTGTATGTATGTATGTATGTAATGTATATGTGATGGGTTGGTGCCCCATCCTGGGTTATTCCTTGCCTTGTTCCTGTAGCCTCCTTGATATGCTCTGGACCTCCTGCAACCCTTAATAGGACTAGCGAAAATGGATGGATGGTACAGTATGTATGTATGTATGTATTATTATTATTGTTGTTGTTGTTGTTGTCGCTATTATTTTTATTATTATTTAATTTAATTTAATTTAATTTACGTGATTTCACTATTGGACCTTGAGCAAGGCCCTTAACCCCAAATCACTACAAAGCTGCATTCAGACCCAGATATCTGACCTTCACTTGTACATCTCCTTGGACGAAAGTATCCACTAAATAGCTAATTGTAAATGTGATGCAGTCCAGGGTCAGAGTGAACCTGTAGCCCATTCCAGGTCAGGGCAGCCTGCCAGCCTGTTACATGTCAAGCAGTAGTTCAGCTACTATAATTAAGGAGACTTTTGCCTCCTGAGATTTTTTTTTGTTAGTAGTAACAGTCCAGGCCTGAGAATTGGTGTGGGGGCCAGACCAGCTGCTCCAGTGTCCTGACCACATGATCCTGGGGGAGGGTCGTGGGGGCTGGGCAGCCATACCCGGAGCAAACGCCGTTGGACAGGGCCCCCCTCCTCTCACACAGTCACATGCACAGGGGTCTGACCGCGAAACAGGAAAGCCATCCCATCTGGCCTCATCCTTACACCCACCCTGGATGCTGCTCATGCTTTTAAAGCCATTTCCTAGGATCTGACTCCCCACCCCACTGATCTGTAAATTGCGCGGGGGGGGGGCTCCTCTACAGGCTCTCCGAGCTGCACGTGGGCAGAAGGGATCGTTGGTGATGCGCTTTCGTGGTGGTGGGGGGGGGGGGGGGGGGGGGGGGGGGGGGGGGGGGGGGGGGTCATCGCGTGATGAGGTGGAAGCTTCGTCCGCTGAGGGCAGGGAGGGGCACGGTTACCCTGCATTAATGGGGATTAATGAAGTCCCCTGGCTGACTGTGTGGCTGGAGGCGGGAAGGTGAAACCGTGAGGCGTAACCCAGCTTTGATTCACGTTGGCCTAGTTAAAAAAATTCCTGGGGGGAGTGGGCTGGCAGGGGTTTCTCTTAAGCAGCGGGGATGGGGCATGGAAACGGCAGGAGCCCTAGCCACACCCCAGCGCTCCTTAGGCTCCCCCGCCCCGTCCACCCGCTCAGCATCCATCACGGACGCCGGACTCCGCCCCTTCGCATCCTGTAGCAGTACGCCGCTTCACGCTGTTTCTTAAAACTAGGTTAGACTTCCTCGGGAGACGGACCCTCGGGAGACGGACCCTCGGGAGACGGACCCTTGGAGGACGGACCGCCTTCCTTCCCGCTCGCCAGCCTGCCGTGCCCTGTGTACCTCTTGCATGGTGCTCGGACGCTTAATCTTTGTCTGTTTCTCTTTTATTGTGCGTCGTTTTTCTTTTGGAATGTGCCTCCCGCTGAGACGAGGATGGGGCGGCTGCTTCACCTGCCTGCTCATGCACTGTCCGTCTCCGGAGTAACCCCCCCCCCCGCCCATAGAGCCCACCTTCTTGGAAAAGCAAACAGCTACACTCACATGAGCTATTCAGGACTACCCTAGAGCTCTTTTAATGCCTCATTAAGGCACATTTCCAGCTTTCTTGAGCATAAGAGAAGAATATGAAGAGAGCGACATTAAAGACCCGACACGGTGCAGTGGTATTTCACTGCTTATGACCTGCAGAGCTCTGGCCCGTCCTGCCCGCGGAGGCCGGCTTCCCTGCATCCCTGTCAAGCCCATTGCTCCACGCTGCGTCCGCCGGCTCTGCGTCTGCCAGGCTGCGTTAAACTGATTTCATTAATTCGATTAAGCTCAGATCACGATGGCCCCTCCCACGTCGGCGGGGACGTCTCGATCTCCTCTCACCGTGCACTTCCTACCTCGGCTGCCCGGCACGCTGCTGTCTTTGTGCCCCATTTACAGAGGATGTAAAGAGCCGGACAGGATCCTCCTGGTTCCACAGCATCCCAGTAACATCACTATGGTGAGATGCTCGGAGCTGCTTTATGCATGAAGGAAGCTCGGTGGTTAATTACGCCTCTAGCAGAGCATGGGAACTGAACCCAAACAGGCATAAGGCTACAGTGCCCCCCAGCTGGGACTATGCCATGAGGGATTCCCACGTAACCATCACGTGATCCACGTTGTCCAATCGGAAAGGATTCCAAAGAGAGCCTGTGGTGATGTGACCTTGGAGTCTGGACTGAGGGGCAGGTCGGATGAAGAATCTGTGACACAAGTGGAGCCCGTTGTAGTGATCTGGCCAATCCGTAGGGGGGGGAACGAGCATGGGAGAGCCCGCCCCCACACGTGCCCATGACTGTGCCCATGTGGGCTTGAGGAGGAAACATCTCACGCGCTCCACGTTGGAGTAGGGGAAGGGCACTTGCAGAGCGAATAAATAACACAAAATGAGTTCAAGGAGGCAGTGTGGGCGGCCGTCTTCCTGGACTTGGCATGCAGGCGGACCTGGAAACAGAGGCTATTTCCTGTTCATCATTACAGCCATCATTACTTGCGGCTCTGCGGTAAAAAGCATCATCCTGCTTCCCCCGGCCCCTACCGCGCACGGTGCTCAAGGGAGCCCGTTCAGAGATGGGTGTTTGTTCGCTTCGTCGAGCTCTCGTGGGGATGGGGGGTTTGATGGAGATGGGGAGGGGAGGGGTGAAGCACCGGGGTCCACCACCAGCCCAGATGGTGGAACTAACCAAGCAGAAAGCCGAATGTTCCCGGCCAACCAATAAATCGTAGCTTTTCTCTTTCTCTCCCGCCGTTGCCAAGAATGCCACAAGCTCATGTTTGTCGGGTCAGCTTTTAAAAATGAGGGAGAAAATATGATTAAACGCAGTATCTACTTCCTTTTATTATATGTAGTGGCTTCTCCAAACTCTAGCTGCAGTTGCATTGTGACTGAAAGCTCTTCAGACGTACTCAGACCCTCCACAGCAGAGGGCTCCGTTGCCCCCCTCCTTTTGACGGCCGTGACTCACGCTGGCGATGGGCGAGCCCATCACTCGGGGTACGGCGAGCCCTTCAGCGCGAAGGAATATGCTCCTCACGCTGACAGGCCGGCCCTCCGGCGGAGCCGCGAAGCCGTGGGCGGCGCTACGCCCACTCCGATCTGCTTCCTCGCCTGGTGGCGCCGGGCACTTGGGTCGCCGATGCGAAGGGAAAATGCACGCTTCTGTGTGCGTGATGTTTGCTGGCCGCTGTCGGCGCACCGTCGCACCCAAAGGGTATAACAAGGTGACTCTCGCCAGCTGTTGCTACGTGTTTTCCACCGATCCTCGTAATGTATGAAAACATAGACCAGCTAGCAGTGATTTGTGTCCTTCCCAAACCTCCGGCTCAAGTAACGCATAAACTCTCCCTTCGGTTGGAGGCATGCGGGTTGATTGATTACGCTATTAGGCCCTAATTAAGCTTACCAATTAAGAGGCAGCTATCACTGCACAAAGGTCAATAACCTTTTCACTGCACCCTATGAGCCGAATCATTTTCGATGGGAATTGCATCAGCTACATTTGCTTGTCATTATTCATTATTTACATCTATTCCTTCATCTCTACATCCATCCATCTCTTACCCAATTCAGGTTCACGGTGACCCCGCAAACAAGGAATGTGGCAGCTAGCATCCAGGACGGGATGCCGTTCCATCACAGGGGACACATTCACGTGCACGATCGATGGCCAATTTAGATTTGTCCATTCAGTTAACTGAATAATTGTGGACGGCACGAAGAAAGTGGAGAACCTGGGGGATACCTGTCGAAATAGGGGAGAACGTACAAACCTCAGCCACACACACTCAGAGGCTGGATACAAGCCTCCTGCCCTGGAGATACTACAGTGGTATTCACCAAGGCACCGTTCTCTCTTCATTTTTCACACTTAATATGACGGCTGTTCATGGAGTTCTGTGGCCTGGGCTGCACCTTGTGTCTCCAGCCAGAGTGTCTGTTGTGCCTGAGTTCCCTCAGGTTCCTAATAGCACTCAATGGCAATTGTGTCTTCTCTCCAAAAAAAGCTCAATCATCTTGTGGTTTGTGTCTATTAAATAAAGTGAAGTGTGGCTGACAGGAGACTGTAAGATAGTCACAAAGACGGGGGAAAGTTTTAGACAACCTAATGAAAATCTCTTTGGGGTGAATGTACAGTTTAAGTATGACTTTGGGCATTAATCACTTTTTTTCCCCTCTTCAATCCCAGCTGGACAACCTAGATGAACAAGCTGCCCAAATAAGAAGAGAGTTGGATGGACGACTACAAATGGCGGATCAGATCGCAAGAGTAAGTCGGCAGAAGGTTATATCAAGTATCATCTTATGTACTTTGACCTTAGTGATGTAGGTGTCCCTGTAGGTGTCCCTGACTGTTCTTATATGCGTTTAAATAAAAGGCAGGGAAGTTTCCCAAGTTTGTGTCCAAGGAAATGGAGGCCATGTACATCGAGGAGCTGAAGTCTTCCGTCAACCAGCTGATGGCCAACCTAGAAAGCATGCCGGTGTCCAAGGGCGGGGAGTTTAAACTGCAGAAGCTGAAAAGAGGTCACAATACCTCCATCATCGACATGGGCCAGGAGGACGAGAACCAGCTCTCCAAGTCTGATGTGGTGCTCTCTTTCACCTTGGAGGTGCGATCAAAGTCCTGCCTTATAGCTCTGGGAAGTGAAAAAAAGAAACAAGACTATTCAAGCTTTGCCCTCATAGAGAGAGTGCTAGACTGAGCCAATGCATAACAGTAAAAAATAATAATAGATTCCAGTAGAATGTAAATTTCAAGACTATAAAATCCATGCATTACTTTTTGAGCACTACTCAATCTACTGAATGGGAATTTTCAGGGCATGCATGAACACTTCTCATTCTAGAGTCTCAATTGTTGACTTAGTTCAATTGAAGTTAAACGACCTACTTTGCTTTACTACAATTTGAAGACTAGTTCCTCCCATTGTTAAGAAAGGAATTGGCTAGAAAACATCTACCAGTGAAGGGTAACTGGCTCTCCTTCAGTGGGTTTGCATTTCCAAACTTTCTCTTCTGTAAACCAGTATGTGTGGAGACTTTTGAAACGTAAGCTCTAGTAAAATATGCTTTCATGATGAACGACTCCCTGTAAATGTGGCATAGCCCGAAGAACTATTCCCTTCCTCTGAGTATTAATTATACCATCAAACATTCAATATTTCCCTCTGCCTTTGATTATAATGTATTATGGTGACCATGATTATTACCATGGCAGTGGTAAGACACCTGTTGTGCTGTTTGAAAAGGAGCAGTGATTTGTGGTGCACATGCTAGAGACTGGAATCCATTTTGTGGGTTTTATTTTTGTTTGTTTTTAAATTTCCAGGTTGTAATAATGGAGGTTCAGGGCCTGAAGTCTCTGGCTCCCAACCGCATTGTCTACTGTACCATGGAAGTGGAAGGTGGTGAGAAACTGCAGACCGATCAAGCCGAGGCCTCCAAACCGACGTAAGCAACACATGAACTATGATGGTGCTGATTCTTCACGGCTATGATTATGCAATGATTCATTCTTGGTTGATTGACCCAAAAATCCAAAAATAGATGTGTAAATGCTGGCAAAATACTTTCCTAGGGAGTATGTCAAGCCCAAGTATAACCTTATCCCTAAACCTAACCCTATACCTAAACCTAAACCATAATCTCGAATCTACGTGTCTTGTGTTGCAACAGTTCACCTGGCTGCCATTGAAGTGTGTTTTTACGCTTTTTTAAAATGAGTTTGTTGTGACTGGGTTAGCATTACCAACACAAAAGATTCCATAAGCTATTTAAAAGAAAATAAAAAACACACTGCTGGAATATTTTCTCCCTCAGTAGGTTTTTTCTTGGTGCGGTTTTCGCAGTGTCCGCTTCCTGCCAGTTTATGTAATTCCCGCTGTAAACTCGGTGGGAACGGAAATGCCGCGTGATGTTCAGCATCAGAATCTAAGAGCTGCCATCCTTCCCCACGGCCCGGCTCCTTCCCCCTTTCTTGCTTTAATTAAAGTGCAGACTAAGCACTGTGTCTACTTCTAATATAAATCATGTCTTTTAAATATTCAGTCTATGGTATCTGTTTTGCCCACAGCAGGTGTTGAGTGACTCGCTTTTATTACCTTTAGCAGAGTCCACTGAGGTCAGCTGTAGCGGTCCCTTCGAAATCTTGCATGCTTTCGAAATTGTCTTATTGACGTAGCTGTTAAGACATGAAAGATGACCTTTAATAAAAGGTGTTTTGTTGCAAGCCCTGGATGTCTGACATCACAAGGCATTTATTTTTAAAGAATGTTTCAAAGAGTGTGTGTTTGAGAGCTGAGAGGGGGGGGTTGGTCAGAAAAGGGACCCCATGGTGTTGATTACACGCTCTGGGGACACTGGAGACAGATGTTGCATTTGCGAGTTATAACAGCAAAGCACTTAGAGTTACCATATAGCTTTTGGTTGAAAGGACCTTCTTCTGCTCAAACAGGCCTGCCAAGCAGTAGTCTTCTGAGGCTGTATGCACAAATCCCTCTTAATGCCTGTCTTGGCCGTGAAGTAGATAAATAATCACTGATGAAGGGGAGGCTTCACTTCATTGGTTAATGGAGAACGTAGGGGGGAGGGGCTACACTTTAGGCTGTAATGTAAGCATCAGACAGCTCATTCTGCATGTGACACTAAAAATTATTACATATTCACTGCAGTAGCCAAGAAGTCGAACTCACTTACAGGCAAGATTCATCCAGATGAGGGCTGCATCGTATCAGGGTTGCCAGGAATAGGCGATATAAATCCCTTGGGGAAGAGTAACATTTCAGGGCAACTGCTGGAGGACTGGACAGTATTACTTGCACTTGGGGATCTTTTCTTAAACAATGATTAAACAGAGATGCTGCCAGCATTTAGTGAATATGGCTTATAGATTGTAAGATGTCGTCCCCGAGACTGAAAAGCACAGCTGGTCTCTAGGTTATGCCAGGCTGTTCTCGACATTGTCTAAATATAATCCTAGGAGATGCTGTCTTCAGCATTGCTGGGGCAGGAAGGCTTAGTTGTAGAGGTCTCCCAGAATATTAGGCGGGAGAAAAAAAAATGGGAGTTTTGCATGGAGGGAGGGGTAGCAGGATGAAGTCATGGGGGCATTTAGGTTCTATTTAAGTGGGTCTGTCCTTCATATAGCTGCCTCTCAGTTGCTATAAAAAGCCTCCCCAGTCCCTGATATCTGGCACCGTCGGACTGGCTGACTTGTGGACAGTGAAAGCGAGATGCTGAGGTATCACAACAGACGGTGCCAAACAGCCATCCAGCTACTAAAGAGGCAGGGCCAGCAGCGGACTCGACGGGTAGGTGTCCAAACCAGGCAGGTGCAGGGGGGTAATGAGTGTATAAAGGGAAAAGCAACAGCAGATGGGTCCTCTCTTTTTGAATTTAATAATCCGGCCTCTCAGAATATTCTCGCAAGCGACAGGAGGATGTTGTCACCGAGTGGCCGCAGGCAGATTCACACACTATGCCCAGCCAAGTCTCACCTGTTTGTGTACATCTTTGTCAACGGTATGTCGAGTGAGAGACAGAGCTGTAATATTATTATATAAAATTCAATGAGCTGTAATTGATTATATAAGATATGCCTTAATTTCCAGTAAAAAATTAGGGCGACAAGTCTTTTGACAAAGGTAACTATCGGTAGTTAATTTGTAGTAGACAGTAAGGAATGCTTTAGGTATAATAATGAAAGCAGGCATGAAAATTGGTTATTGGAATAAATTTGATAATAGAAATGCATGATTATCCATTCATTGTGGTGCACAAGGCAGGGGCGTACCCTGGAGAGGATACAGAGTACATTACGGGGCCCCTGCATGCCTTTGGACTAACATGAAACCTTCCCAGAGGATTCAAACCAGTGAGCCACAGTTTACATTCATGCAGTTGAAAATTCATAAATAAAATGATTGGAGTGGGGGGAGTTGATGGCAGATGGCTGAATTTGATTGTCCATTGATGAGGAAACCATCAAACAATAGCCTCACAAAATGCCTCATATTGTTATATTGCCAGTGGTTAGAATGCACCTCCATTTGGATTCTCTGCAGGCCAGTCAGAGAATTGTGTAGTTTGAGAACCGCTGGCAGATCAGGAATCCAGACTCTTTGATGTTAAATTGCTGATGGAACAGACAAATCTGCCTTTTCACCCAGTGCTTTTAAGCTCTTTGTAATGTAAGGCTGCTACTGGCACAACTAATCTGGACAAACGTAAGCCAGGCAGTTTTGCAAGCAACAGTGAGTTCACATTTGTAAGTAGTTTTATATCTCAGAAAGCCATGTCTTTGTTTTAAACAAATAGGGAGATAAAGAAACTCAGTCCATTTTGTATAAGTTGGTGTCGTGCACATAATTTGGACGAGTTGGATTCTGTTTGATGCCATTTCCAGTTTTTACCTCTATTTTGGGTTTAGGAATCACCTCTGAAATGACATACGCATATAAAATCTGCGTTCTTTGACCATATATGGCAGTGTTAGAGATGGTGCTGTCTGGTGTAGGATAGCGACACAGTATAAGTGCAAAAGAGCCAATGGGTACATCAAACAGGTATCAAAGAAACATCAAAGAGGTTAAGGTGACACTGAAGAACGTTCCTAATCTGAACCCATTTTGCAACACAAAAGGCCCAGAATGTATACATGAGCAAAGCTGCAAGTCACTGGTTCAAGTGCCAGCTAAATATCTAAGTGTAATGTGAATGTGAGGCCTGATGTTTCAAACACACACAGAGGTAAACATCTGTTTTATTTTTGTTCCAGTCTTTCCTCTTCAGTAGCCACAATAGGGATGTACTTGGCCAAGTAAATGGTTTGGCTGCTATGTCGGTATAAGAATTATTGGTGAAAGCAAATTTCCTGCTCTAAACAGCCATTACGTGTGACAAATGCTTCAAGCTGCGGCCTGTTGTTGGGTTGCTGCAACGTGACCATCATGGTGTTAGTGATGTTTTGGTAAATAAGCATCAGTCCCCACCACACAGCACCAGCACTAAATTTGGGGTTATTCTCCTGTTTTGATTATGATAATTAAAATAATTGTTGATTAGTCACACTTTGAGACTAAATGTACATGTGTTATGTGTGAATCAGGTTCAGTGTTGTGGGAGATGACTGACACACAGACAGATGACCAAAGGAAAATGTAATCAGGTGCAACATCAGTAGGATTATCTTATTGGGGGGAATAGAATGTAAGAGAACAAGGTGAAAAGGACACTGGACAAAGTACCGCGTGTCATAGTGACTTGGGGGGCCATAGATAATGGATAATATATATTGAACGTGTTGAAACGATTGGGTTATGAGTTATCAGTGCTTGATTTTGATTGCCTCTGTATTTTTTATGTCATCATTCTATTTTTTTAACTGTTTTCTCCCACATTTAGTAGGTTAAGGTGTGTTTGTGGCATCTCTGCTGCAGTATTGGACTTTCCCGTGCTGTGTGGGTCTCCTCCTGACACCAAAGAGGTTAAGGTTCGTCCAGTAGGTAGTCCAAGGACATGCAGTTAGGCTAACTGTTGTTTCTAAATTAGTGTATGACGGTGTGTGAGAGATTGTATGTGGACTAGCATCTAATCCATGGTGTACCTCTTCCTTGTGCTTCCTGGGTTAAGGAAAATGGATGGATTAGTGGATGTATGTATGGATGGATGGAGGGATGGATGTAACAGGCTACTAACCTACCTGGGATACTCTGATATCTCTCCAGACTTTTGACTGGTCCAGACTCCCTTGAATATCTGTTCAGAGAATCCAGCAGATTCATCCATGTTGTTCATCCATACATGAAATTCGTAATTGTAAACAGGTTTAAACAATGACTGCATTTTTTTTAATTATTATTATTTTTTAATAATAAAGTGCACAGTTCTGGCTTAGTCACCAAATGTAAGTAGTCAGGCAAATAAGTATATTTTCATAACTGTAACTCATACGTAACATATGTAGCATGAATCACTTTAGGTTAAAGCCTCACCTGAAAACAGCAAAAAGATTTTAGACTTTGACGTTACGAACACCTGCTAATGATTAGCTCTCCATACACAGAGAATGTTTATAACACCCTCAATGAGAATCATTTACTTCAAATCTCGACACTTTTGTGATACACTGAGGATTTACTAATTCACGTTAATTGAAATCGATTCACCACTTCAACCTGATAATGTTATAACGGTTTACAGAGGAGATGAGCCTGGTTTCCTGTTACGTCGTGTGCTGAATGTAGATGTGTATTGTCTTACTGAGATGTATGACACCCGGAGAGAATGCTCACACACCGGAACCAAGGGGTAAACATCTGTGTCACTGATGATGCATCACCAGGCTGATCATTCCAGCAGGCATGCGAATGGTTACTGAATCTCCAGCCTCACTTGGCACCATTTGAATAAAATCAGCCGTAAGTCTCAAGTCATCCTAAGTAAGGCGAGCA